GGGAGGGAGCCAGGCTCTGCTGGCCGGGGAGGGCAGGGTGACCAGCGTGGGGACTCACCTGGAGAGACATCCCTCCCTTAAGGCCTGGATGGTGATGCGGGTGATGTTCACGGACATCAAACAGAAGGGGAATTGCTGGAATGGAGGGGGTACTGGGTCAGTGGCAATCCAGGCTCTCACCTTCTGTGCTTCCCGTCACCCACAACCCAACCTGGCCCGCGGGAGATAACAATCACAGCCAGAGGCAAGCAGCTGGTATTACTGATGCTTACATTTAATTTTCACAATAATCTTCCCATTTTACAGAGGTGGAAACTGAGGGTCAGTGACCTTAAATAACTTTCCTAAGGTGTTGGAACCAAGATTCCTACTGAGGTCGATTCACTCCGAAGCTGGTGCACAAACCCCTGTGCTAGCTCTCCAGCCTCTTCAAAATCAGATCCATCAGCTCTCCTTGGCCTTCACCAGGCCCGCCCCGTGCGCTGCCTGTGGACCACATCACCCCCTGGGGTTGGATGGACACAAGAGGAGTGAGGCTCAGTTATCTAACCAATTCTATAGGTTCTTAAAATCTCTTCTCCCCTTCTCTGGGCTTCTGCTTATTTGCTCATAAGCTCTTCACCCAAAAGCAGACAGAGAAGGTACAAGTAGGTAGAAAGTCAACCTTGACTTAGGGCGCACTCCATCTCTTAGTAACACAGAGGCCTGAGAACGGGCTGTGCAGGTCCCACTCCCAAGCTGGGCAGACTGGGTCCAGCAGGGCCGCTTTACCAGGAAGGGCCTCCAAATTCCCTATAGCATCCACCTGAATGCTTTCTTTTTGGAGGGGCCAGTTCCTTCCTATTCTTTAACAACAAAAACCCAAGCAAATGAAAAGAGGCTTTCCCCAGGGGATTTGCAACTACTGCATGTTCGTTAGTTAGTTGAACCCACACAAAGACATCGGCTGAGAGGGACACATAGACCAGTGCGTTCCTTAGCTTAGAACAAGAGCCAAAGTCTATTTATCCCATCTGCTTCCCTTGAGAAGAAAAATCCGTTACATTGTGATGTAGAACTGTGCTGTCCAGTATTATAGCAACTAGCCAGGTGTAGCTATTTAAATTTTAATTAACTGAAAATTAAGTAAAATTAGAAATTCAACTCCTTAGTCATACTAGCCGTATTTCAAGTGCTCAATAGCCACTCTTGCTTAAGAGCTGCTACATTGGATAGTGCAGATAGAGAATATTTCCTTCATTGCAAAAAGTTCTAGTGGCCAGCACTGAACTGGTCTTCTGGCTCCACAAGGATTTTTCTCAGGGCCTTCCATGACACCTGGATTCCAGATCTTGGCCTGGCCACCTGCCAGCTGTGTATACTTAGGAAGGCCATCCGAACTCTGTGAGACTCGGCTCTCCCGTCTCTCAAAACCAAAAAGGAAATAAATTTTAAGTGCTGTGCAGAAAAGGTTGAACACATCTGAAGAACCTAGGGGCAGGACAGTAATAAAGACGCTGACATAGAGAATGGACTTGAGGACACAGGGAGGGGGAAGGGTAAGGTGGGACGAAGTGAGAGAGTGGCATGGATGTATGTACACTACCACATGTAAAATAGCTAGTGGGAAGCAGCCGCATAGCACAGGGAGATCACCTCGGTGCTTTGTGACCAGAGGGGTGAGATAGGGAGGGTGGGAGGGAGACGCAAGAGGGAGGAGATATGGGGATATATGTATATGTATAGCTGATTCACCTTGTTATAAAGCAGAAACTAACACACCATTGTAAAGCAATTATGCTCCAATAAAGATGTTAAAAAAAAAAAAGTGAACACAGCAGGCCTGAGATTGCCACCCTTAGAAAGGCCTGCTTATAAGGCTGGCATCTGGGAACTTGGATTTTGAGAGGGTTCCCACCATTCCCTCAGGCTGACTATTGTACCCAAACTGTGCAAACCATACGGTTTATGCTGAACACCTGCCTTCGCTCTGATTCTGGAATTTTGGTACGTGCTAGACAGATGGTGCCTGCGTGACCAGCCCCCAGTAAAAACCTCGGATACTGAATCTCTGATGAGCCCCCTGGTTGGCAACATTCCACGTGTTACGCAATGTGATGCTGGAGGAATTGAGTCCCGTGTGACTCTACTGGGAGAGGACTCCTGGAAGCCCGCACCTGGTTTCCTATAGATGTTGTCCATGCTCTTCTTCCCTTTGCTGATCTTGCTTTTGCTGCAGTAAATCACAGCTGAGAGTACAACTATACACCAAATCCTGGGAGTCCTCCCAGTGGTCCTGGGGACCCCCACACAAGGGCCATGCTCAGTGGAGTCAATTCGCTAATCCTTACACAAACTCTCCAGGGTAGCTTTTTTATTTTATTTTATTTTATTTTATTTTTTAAATTTTTTATTATTTTTTTTGCGGTACACGGGCCGCTCACTGTCGTGGCCTCTCCCGCTGCGGAGCACAGGCTCCGGACGCGTAGGCTCAGCGGCCATGGCTCACGGGCCCAGCCGCTCCGCGGCATGTGGGATCTTCCCGGACCGGGGCACGAACCCGTGTCCCCTGCATCGGCAGGCGGACTCTCAACCACTGCGCCACCAGGGAAGCCCCAGGGTAGCTTTTATTGTCCACAGTCTACATTTTCTATTATCCCACAACCTACCTCACAGAGCTGCTCTAAGGAGTAATTTAGATCACATGAGCAAAATGCTAAGTGCAGCACTGGCCTGAGGAGGTGCTAACAAACGTTCATAATTATTATCTGTGCCTCAGTGGATAGCTGAGGTCAGCAGCAATGCACCTCTACCTTCGGGTATTGCCTATTTAATTATCATAATATTTGTATAATATCATCCCTTCCCTTGCTTTCTGTATAAAAATAAATATGGGAACAAGAACATGGTAGCAACATAACAGAGGATCCGAACTTAGGGTTCATTCATTCTCAGGAATACTTTTATAAAAGCCTACTTACTAAAAAGCAGTGAAAAACTGGAATTCAGATAGAAATATCTCCTTTCCTTCAGCAGTTCCCTTGGACCTGAAAAGTGTGGCTTTGAGCTAAAATCCCACATTGAGGCTGTAGGGAACTGACTAAAAAGACAGCAGAGGAAATCAGACGTGGACACTTCTGAGCTTCCATTTAAAATTTCATTTCTCTTCACGCCTCACAGTAGGGCTTAAACACCTTTGAACACTGAAGCAAGAAAACCAGATTGTCTTTTGCGGCTGCTGCCGACATGGCCCCATCCCTGGAGGTTGAATTCAGTAGTTCTGTGGAGGGAGGGTCCCGGGCACATGCCATCCCCCCAGGTGACTCTGAGGTGGGCTGCTGGCTGAGAACCCCGCTGTAAGGAGCCCACTGCTGGGCGAGCTGTCAGGTGATGGGGGTCCTAGCCCCAGCTTCACCACTTACTAGCTGCCCAGTTTTGTAATATGCTCAGGAGCGAGACTGCTGGGTCATACGGTAATTCTATTTTTAGTTTTTTAAGGAATCTCCATAGTGTTCTCCATAGTGGCTGTATCAATTTACATTCCCACCAACAGTGCAAGGGGGCTCCTTTTTCTCCACACCCTCTCCAGCATTCGTTGTTTGTAGATTTTCTCATGATGCCCATTCTAACTGGTGTGAGGTGATACCTCATTGTAGTTTTGATTTGCATTTCTCGAATAACTGGTGATGCTGAGCAGCTTTTCATGTGCCTCTTGGCCATCTGTATGTCTTCTTTGGAGAAATGGCTATTTAGGTCTTCTGCCCGTTATTTGATTGGGTTGTTTTTTAATATTGAGCTGCATGAGCTGTATATATATTTTGGAGATTAATCCTTTGTCCATTGATTCGTTTGCAAATATTTTCTCCCATTCTGAAGGTTGTCTTTTCATCTTGTTTGTAGTTTCCTTTGGCTTGGCAAAAGCTGTTAAGTTTCATTAGGTCCCATTTGTTTATTTTTGTTTTTGTTTCCATTATTCTAGGAGGTGGATCAAAAAAGATCTTGCTGTGATTTATGTCAGAGAGTGTTCTTCCTATGTTTTCCTCTAAGAGTTTTATAGTGTCCAGTCTTACATTTAGGTCTCGAATCCATTTTGAGTTTCTTTTTGTGTATGGTGTTAGAGAGTGTTCTAATTTCATTCTTTTACATGTAGCTGTCCAGTTTTCCCAGCACCACTTATTGAAGAGACTGTCTTTTCTCCATTGTATTTCCTTGCCTCCTTTGTCATAGATTAGTTGACCGTAGGTGCGTGCGTTTATCTCTGGGCTTTCTATCTTTTTCCATTGATCTATATTTCTGTCTTTGTGCCCATTCCATATTGTCTTGATTATTGTAGCTTTGTAGTATAGTCTGAAGTCAGGGAGTCTGATTCCTCCAGCTCCGTATTTTTCCCTCAAGACTGCTTTGGCTATTCAGGGTCTTTTGTGCCTCCATATAAATTTTAATATTTTTTGTTCTAGCTCTGTAAAAAATGCCATTAGTAATTTGATAGGGATTGCACTGAATCTGTAGATTGCTTTGGGTAGTATAGTCATTTTCACAATATTGATTCTTCCAATCCAAGAACATGGTACATCTCTCCACCTGTTTGTATCATCTTTAATTTCTTTCATCAATGTCTTATAGTTTTCTGCATACAGGTCTTTTTGTCTCCCTAGGTAGGTTTATTCCTAGGTATTTTATTCTTTAGTTGCAATGGTAAATGGGAGTGTTTCCTTAATTTCTCTTTCAGATTTTTCATCATTAGTGTAGAGGAATGCAAGAGATTTCTGTGCATTAATTTTGCATCCTGCAACTTTACCAAATTCATTGATTAGCTCTAGTAGTTTTCTGGTGGTATCTTTAGGATTCTCTACGTATAGTATCATGTCATCTGCAAACAGTGACAGTTTTACTCCTTCTTTTCCAATTTGTATTCCTTTTATTTCTTTTTCTTCTCTGATTGCCGTGGCTAGGACTTCCAAAACTATGTTGAATAATAGTGGTGAGAGAGGACATCCTTGGCTTGTTCCTGATCTTAGAGGAAATGCTTTCAGGTTTTCACCACTGAGAATGATGTTTGCTGTGGGTTTGTTGTATAGGCCCTTTATTATGTTGAGGTAGGTTCCCTGTATGCCCACTTTCTGGAGAGCTTTTATCATAAATAGGTGTTGAATTTT